AGTATGGGAAGTGGGCTATGATCAGTCCTGCAGGTCATGTGCAATCAGTTTGGGAGCTGCATAGTCAGTCAGGGGTCTTGTCAGTCATCGTTTGGGGCTGATTGTCCATGTCGGTCAGGGGGAGGCTGTGGTCAGTTCTGGGTACAGCTCTGTGAAATCCAAGGGAAGTTACTGGGGCCACTGCTGTTGTGGGAAAGTTGGGGTGGTCTATTGGAGGCAACACGCTGGGATGCAGAGGGGTCAATAATAATGATGAGGAGAAACTAACCATATGAATGGGAGTAGAAGACAATATTTCATTGGAGGAACATGGGTTAATGCAGGGGAGGTAGTTATTAATGATCACAACCTGCCTGGCTTTGATGGGTCAGTGCAACGTGATGGTTGGCATGACTAAGCTGTAGGTTCATGCTGTGGGAATTGGGGGAAGAATAGCACCAGCTTAGATAGGGTTCTAATATGAGGTGATGCTACAGATGGATAATTTTGTAGTTTGTTTCTTAAATAGCAATTTTTGTTTCAATGTGCACTTGTATTTGCAATGAAGTATCAGTCATGCTACCTCTGTGCCCTGAGAAACATTTGTATTTTGTTCGCTTCCAACTACATGGACAATGAAGGGCATCTGTAGGTTGGCAGTACTTGATCTAGTGTACACTAGGCTTTACAGATGACGTTGGTGCTGGCGTGCTGGAGTTCCCAGCAGAATAGTGCCAAAGCTTGCTAAGGCTTAGGGAGAGAAACACTCTGTGAAACTCGCCAAAATTGGTGCTTAGCTCATTTCTAGTAAAATTCAGAGCTCAGGGTGTTATTTTCTAAACTGGCAGGAGTGAGTTCAAATTGTTGAACTCGCCAAGCATAAATCAGCTGTTATCACAGAAGCAGTGTTGTGATATGTTTTCCTTTGAAGAGAGTACGCAAGCCTAAACAATGTAACCTGTTTATCAAAAGAGCAAGCAATGCTCAATTTAATAGCATCATAGATTAATGTCCATGAGTTAATGCCTCGTCTGTCTACATAGAGAAATTCAGCTGTGAAGGGTATATCAACACCAAACTCATTGAAAATTCTTTTAATCTTTTGCTTCTTTTGGAGCCTGAACATCAATATCATGTTTCTGTGAGTCTGCAGAATTCCTTTGACCAGTTAAGGAGTCAAAATCTCATTGAGATTGGCCTTCATTTTACAAAAAAAGGATGTTCTACATTTCTGAGAGGAGATGCTGCTCAAGGCCCCCTTGGAAGTTCAGAGCTGTACTTCCATTCTGACAGAGATAGTAGGAACTGCCGATGATGGAGAATCTGAGACAACAAGGTATAGAGCTGGATGAACACAGCAGGCCAAGCAGCATCAGAGGAGCAGGAACCCACCTCCCTAACCTGTCCTCCCACCTATCCACTCCTCCCACCTCAAGCCCCACCCCCATCTCCCACCTACTAGTCTCATCCCGCCTCCTTGACCTGTCCTTCCTCCCTGGACCGACCTATTCCCTCCCGAACTCCCCACCTACACTCACCTTTACTGGCTCCAACCCCGTCTCCTTGACCTGTCTGTCTCCTCTCCACCTATCTTCTCCTTTATCCATCTTCTATCCGCCTCCCCCTTTGTCCCTATTTATTTCAGAATCCCCTTCCCCTCCCCCATTTCTGAAGAAGGGTCTAGACCCGAAACGATAGCTTTTCTGCTCCTCTGATGCTGCTTGGCCTGCTGTGTTCATCTAGCTCTACACCTTGTTGTCTTCCATTCTGACAGTTCTGTTTTAGCACAGAACTGTAGGAAGGAGGCAACTATGTCCCCTTTTCACAGCAGTCACTTATGGTGTTCTGACATTTAGAGGACCTGGCATCCACTTTGACAGCTGCTGTCAAACCATAAGTACATAAGGTAAGTGTGATGTTAAGGTGCTGGGAGATTATGGTGCCAGGTAAGTGGGATTCCACCTGGGAGGAGTGCCAGTTGTAGAAGGTAAGGCTGACATAAGAGCCCATATGAATGCAGGGTAGGTTGCTAGTTTAGTGGCATGCCAGGCTAGGGTGCCAGATGGATAGAGGTAGGTGTAAAGTTGGTAGAGTGCCAGGAAAATAGAGATCTGACTGGGTAGAATGACAGCTAGGTAGGGGGTATGATGCCAAGGTGTAGAATGGCAATGTAAGTGATGCAGTGTTTAACAGGGTCAGTGAGGGTTGGAGAAATTGGTTTGGTCGGGGGAGGGGAGGGTTGCTCCAGGTCAGGAACAGGCTGTGAAGGGATGGGAGGGTGGGGTTGTTGGGACGTTGGGTGGATCTGGCCGAGGGTCGGGTGGGGTGATGTTGTCGTGTTAATTCTGGAGGCAATGGGTTCGGCACAGCTCTGGTGGCAGTGGTGTCTTTGATTCAATTAGACCAACGGAGGAGCAGAATCCCAGTGAGGGAGGGGGTATGTCATGGCCCACTATTGGGATAAGGCAGTGTCCAGTTAAGTATGCAATCAGTTGAATAGTTACTCAGAAGTTAGACTGGGTATTTAATCGTCCAACTTTGCCTGAGTAACTATGTCATTTAGTTTCATTGGAACCGTCCAAGTTCTCTGACTTAAATGAAGACTTTCTGAAGGTTTGAGGTGTAATGGATTTACCAAGTGGAAAATTCAATTTCCCAGGCAATTCCTTTGGAGTGTGAAATAGTGGGATTTCCACAGGGTTGCCATGTGGAACTCCCATCCACACTGGAAGAACGACTGTCTGGCCAATGGAACATCCAGGTCCTGGCTGTGCAATCTTAGAAAATTACTCTTTTGAAATTATTGCAAAAATCAGAAACCTAAATCCATAATGTTTGTTGCAGGCAAATCATGACCGGAGATCACAGTGTGAATAGGTTGGTTTAGACCATCTCTGTTCTGATTATTTCTCTCTCTAAGACATTATTTTAAGACATTAGACTGGCGCTAGTTGGTGCATTGCTGATAATTGCCGCCACTCCCGCTGGCAATGCCCGCATGGACACCTGCCAACTGTAAGCTATCAGGTTACAGAATCTCAGCCTCAGACTGGCCACTATGATGGATTGGCACCATGATAAATGTATATTAAACATTCCCTCTCTTCTTTGTTCCTTTCTTCATGATAATAGCAAACAAACGTAGACCCATGAGAAATAACATACTGCTTCTAAGTAGTCTTTCCTGTTGAGTTGGGGGATGTCAAAATCTGGCGTTCTCACACATCAGAGGTTATTTAGGCTAAATACCACAAAAAATGACCCTGCAAGATAATTCCCAGTTGCAGTAGCCACAGCACAAACTATCTGCTGGTTACAAATATATTTTCTAGTTAACCTGTTCACAGATAGAGGAGGTAGGACTTGAACCCTGGCTCCGAGGTAGGGATACTCCCACTGCACCTCCAGAGCTCTGCTGCTCGTACAAAAATTCATCACTTTGATTTGTTTTAGCCCATTCTAATTGCTGTACCTTGTCATTCCCATTCTTCCTCCTGCCAATGCACAATGGGAGTAGGACCAGGACATTTGGAATTCCAACTTCTGAGTCTTTTATTTAAATGAAATGAGGTGCTTTTTTTTAATTGATTGTGGGAAGAACCAAATAATTTTACTGAGTTCAAAAGAATCGGCTTTGAGGCAGAAAATCTTGGGAAGAGACTTTCATTCCTGGCCAGAATAGATATTTCTCCTGATGAAATGTGACAGAAATGCCAAAAATTTACATGGACATTCAAGACTATTACTTTCTGTAAAATTGCGAGCTGTATTCTCCTTAAATGTTGCCTCATTTTGTTTCCCTCTATCTTTCCTTTCATTATGATACTGGCATACAAAGTGTGGTAGTGCAGGTACCGAGATCCAACCATATTCCATAGAGATAAAATGTCAGACGTGCTTTCCCTGAATGTGATAGACTGTTTGTAGATTCCTTCCTCTTGGGTTGTTTTACTGAACATGATTTGCATTTTTCAGTACTTGTTCGATGAATCAGAGTTAGTGAATGCCTGTCAGCCTCGATCCATCATTTAAAGACTCAGTTATAATTCAATTCCTACAAACCTGACATTCAAATGAAAGGCAGTAACTTTATTTAATGTGATGTTAACAGCAAACAATGTCAGAGGAAGTGGAATTCCTATATTGGTGAGCTGTTGCTACAGTTACTTCTATTGAGATGTGAGAAAGCTTGCTGCCTTCTTTATTTATTAAATAATTACCAGAAAAATAAATGTTGGTCTGCATAAGACTAAAAAAAATTGTATTTGTATGATACTATATCCCTCAGAAATGTCTAATTGAACGTAACAAGCAGGGAGCTCATTTGAAATGCAGTCACAATAACTTGACAAGCACTTTGCACACTGCAGGATCCAAGGGAACAGCAATGAGTAGAATGACCAATTAATCTGGTCTTGGTGGTTGCATTTGATAGAAGAATTTTGCTCAGGGCTAAATCTTCTTAGATGTTCCTAAATCTTCTTAGCCTTGGTGAAGTAGTGTGATGGACTCTTTAATATCTATCTGAATCTCTGCATCATTTGGAAGTCCGTATCTCTAGTATTCCAGTACTTTACTGAAGTGGGAATACTCAGTACACATTGCATTCCTGAAATGACCTGCAATTTTTTTTTGATTCAGAGTGTAATCAAGTAAACTGAAATGGAAGGTAAAATATTAATATCAGGGTGATGACAAAGTTAAATTGAATGGAGTAGAAGGTGTAATTAATGGGCGGGGGATCTAGGTAACTGCTGGCAGACTGTTAGGTCGGAACAGGAAATTAAAAATATCCGCAAAGTAAAACACTATCTGAATTTCTAGCAGTCCAGATTTTCCACTGTGAATTTTGTAAAGAGGAGGTCTCAGATTAATTTTCAATGAATGAAACTGTTTCAAGGTGCAACTTTCAACTCACAGATTGGAGTTTACCAAGTTATGCAGTTTTAATACCTGCCAATTTAAATGTCTAGTCATAACTAAAATTAAGAATCAATTGCAATTTTCTGCTTTGCTTCCAGCATCTCCATGGGTTGATCTAACAAAGACTGCCAACAGGATCGACTTGTATGATGTTCGGAGAAGACCATGGTAAGTGCTGCTTCAGTGATGGGATGTGGGCATTTGTTAATGTCAGCATTTGTTGCCTGTCTGTGTTTGCCTTTGAGTGGTTTAACATACCTTTTCTCAGGGCAGCTAACCTTATTACTGAGGTCTGGATTCATTTGTTGGCCAAAGCAGGTAAGGATGGCAGATTATCTCCCCAAAGGATTATTAGTGAGCTGGATAGATTTTTATTTGAGTCAATGATAATTGTCACAGTCACCATTACTTAGACTGTCTTACAATTCCATATTTTATAAATTAATTTAAATTAAATCATCTGCCATGGGAACCCTTCATCCCAGTGCATTAGCCTTGGCCTCTGGTTTTGTCACCCATTGATGTCACCGCTGTTGTTGTGAAATCACTTAATAACATTGGTAGTAATATTAATCATTGGCTTCCACCCCGGAGCACTGTATGCTATTTATAAAAAGGTGCAGGAAAGTAAAAGAATTACTTGAGTTCATACAGTAGATCTAAAGAAAAGCAAGAAGTGACTATCCACAGTGATCATATTACTATGATCTGGAGGGAGGCCAGTAACTTTTAAAAAGAATTTCAAACTCTCAGTTATTAACTGAAAGAATTATGCCACAATATTTCATGTTTTAAACTAAACTGTTTACAAGAGTTAAACAAAGTAAACAAAGCTACTAACAACATTGAATTCCATAAATCATTTAAACTATAAATTTTAAAAGCACACCATGACACGCCCCATTTTAATTTTATTTTGATCCAAGAGTTTTTCCATACTTTATAGAATTTTGAAGTTTCCTCCACTTCTCCTAGAACCAAACCAACGTGAGCTACAGCTTCCAGGCATTTATGTTGATTCTTCTCATTGTACCTGCTATTCTTCAAGGTGTGAGATTTCTTGGGACCCTTCTACGAGCATACTGTAACATGGCCAAATGCTTAAGCACGTTATGATCATGGACATCCCAGCTTCAGGATAGGCTTCACCACTTTCTTGTTCAGTGACTCCAGAATCAGAAAATATCCTCAGTTTCTAATAGCTTTTTGCTACTGGTCTATGGCTCCTGCCAGATTTCTTTCCTTTTGCTCATCTCAAAGCTACTTTGAGGATCCAACACTAACTCCAGTTTCTTTGAGCTATTGTACAGGTGAAACCCAACCACACAAAAAGCTCCTTGCATCAATTTATCTGTATGGCAACATGGCCCACTTGGGATGTCCCAGATATAAATGTCCACTAACTTACTTTATCTGCAAAGAGTCACTTTAATTCTGGGGCCCAAAGATTTCTATCTCTTGAGACAAAAATTACAATCTCGACAGAGTTGCTGGCTCCATTGTTGGGCTGAGAAAAGACCATTTTATGTTTATTGTTTTCCACTTCCAACTCTGACTTCTTCAAAAACAGCACAGGCTTTCCCAGTCTCCTAATCCAAGTGCTTCTAATATCTTTCATCTAAAACGTGTCTCCAAACTAAAAGTTATACTCTTAAAGCATACAAATCTTGAATTTGCCTATTTTCACAACATTATTCATCATTCAGCCAAAAAATGAAGCACAAAAAGAGTTTTTGTTCGCTTTGATATTCTGTTTCTGTTTTCAACAAATTGACAGTTTGAATGGACAGTTCTAAGTGCTGATGGACATATTTGGTAGAGGTTGTTTGAGTATTTGCTTATCAATGAAAACAGGGAAGATCATAACTAACATGTACAGAGATAGGTGCTTACACAGTGTGCTAAAGTATTGTTTGCTGTCATTTTAAGTTCAGAAGCTATGCCAAGCCAGTTTCCTTCATGCTTTAGAGACAAAAAAACTGCAGATGCTGGAATCCAAGGTAGACAAACAGGAGGCTGGAAGAACATAGCAAGCCAGGCAGCATCTGGAGGAAAGGAGCAGTCAACGTTTCAGGTATTACCCTTCTTCAGGACTGTCCTGAGAAGGGCAATACCTGAAACATTGACTGTTACTTTCCTCCAGATGCTGCCTGGCTTGCTGTGTTCTTCTAGCCTTCTGTTTGTCTTCCTTCACGCTTTCATTAGCCGACAGACTTTACTGCATGCCCTTGGCAGCAAATAAAGGAAAGCACAAAGATATAATCATGGCAAAAAAAGTGGATTTGATTTAATCTTTTAATTGCTTAATTATTTGATGCAACTACAGTGCCACTTATATATTTCCAACTCAATTACATCAATATACCATGTGCTAAAAAGTTCTTTTTATTCACTCATGGGATGTGAAGGTCATTAGCTGAGCCAGCATTTATTATCCATCCCTAATTGCCCTTGAAAGGGTGGTAGGGAGCTGCCTTCTCAAACCACTGCTGTCCATGTGTTATCAATAGACCTACAAACCTGTTAGGGAGGGAATTCCAGGATCTTGACCTGGCAATACTGAAGGCATGGTGATATATTTTTAAGTCTGGATGATTGACTTGGAAGAGAGTTTGCAGGTGGTGATGATCCTATGAATCTATTGCCTTTATCCTTTTATATGGTAGTGATGATGGGTTTGAAAAGTATTGTCTAAGGAGCCGTGATGAATTTCTACAGTGCATCTTGTGAATGGTACGCACTGCTGCTACTATTTTCTGTGATGGAGGATGTGGATATTTGTGGATATGGTGCCAATCAAGTGTGCTGGATGGTGTCACACTGCTTGAGTGTTGTTGAAGCTGCACTCATCCAGCCAAGTGGATAGTATTTCATCACACTCCTGACTTGTGTCTAGTTGGTGGTGGTCAGGCTTTGGGGAGTCAGCATACTGCAAGCTTCCAAGCTTCTGACCTGCTCCTGTAGTCATTGACTAGCAAGTCCAACCTAGTTTCTGATCAATGGTAACCCCCAGGATGTTGATAGTGGAGGATCCAGTGATAATGAGATCATTAAATGGCAAGGGGCAATGTTAGATTCTCTCTTGCTGGAGATGATGATTGCCTGGCACTTCTGTGGTGCAAATTTACCTTGCCAGTTGTCCTTGGATATTGTCCAGATCTTGCTACATTTGGAAATGGGCTGCTTCAGCATTTGAGGAATCACAAATGTTGCTAAACATTGTACAATCATCTGCAAATATCCCCGTTTTAGACGTTGCAATGGAGGGAATGTCTTTGCAGTATAAACTGGGAAGATACCACGTTTGACCCTGATCTTTGCTGGATGAAGTGATCTCTTTTGAGGTTATAGTATTCTTAGGCTAAAAGTGCTGAATGGGTTCTTTAAGGTCTAATCAAAATGAATACAAGAAGACACATGTACTTTGATATAAAGCAAATTTGGTAGCTTAATCTACTTCAGATAAATGCAAACTATTGGGAGAATCTATTAGCTTAAACTACTTTAGACACATTCAACAAGCGAATCTCCCTGCCCTTCACTTGTCAGGGACTCCTGGTGGATGCTTGGCACTCAGAACTCTATCTCAGTTTCCAGGACCCCAGCCGGATGGTGAAAGGCCCTTCCGAGCTGGAAAATGTCCTCAATATTAGTACTATTCTGATTCAGAAATTATGTTTTGCATTGCCATCTGAGTATTTTTCTTAAACATTCCTTAGTGAAAAAAGGTCTAGATGTCTCTGTGTCTTTGCACAACAGCCTGTTCCCAAGCCCAGCCAAGGTCATTGCAGTTACCTTCAAGTCAAAAACAGGTTGCTTTTATACTAAGCCTTTTTTTCACATATTTTCCTTCCATTGCTTATTGCCACCTCCAATTAAATTTAAACAATCTGGTTTGGATATATCATTTTTATGCCTAACAAAACAGTGATGCCTAGGTTGTTTGGTGTCTGACAATGATGAAATGGGGTAAGAATAATCCGAGACCTCATCAATGCCCATGGCCTTCATGTTTTGGTAACATTTGTTCAGAAATAATGAAGAATGCTTCAGCGTCAATATTATTTTGATGCCAAATTAATGGGCTGTTATCTCTCTATGGAAATGGCGATATAAATGACCTCCTTGGAAAATATACGATTAACTTGCAATTGAAAAATATTGTGTATATTCCTGCCCTCCATGAATTTTTTTTAATGTGGTATTGACTTTGTGTTTCCTAGTTAGAAAGTGGGACTATTAACTTGTCGATTTGACCTTTGTTAACACTAGTTAGCATGCAACTTCCAATTTGTCTTTAAATTTGTTCACGGGATGTAGCCATCACTGGCTAAGCCAGCATTTATTTCCCATCCCTAATTGCCCAGAAGGCTAAGAGTCAGCCAGATTGTCCCTCAAGGTAATAAAATGGTTTACGCCAACATGTATGGATGAGTATCAATGACTAGGTATTTGCCGTTCTCCCATGTAGGGAAGCACACTGTAGATTCACCACCATTTCTTGCTCAGTTTTTCTCATGCCTCCTGAAGAATGAAGGAACAACTCTTCCTTTAAATAGCTTTATGATCAGCAGGGCATATTAGTTTATAGAACTCCATCTTGCAGTCTCCTTCAGTCTATTTAGAATGGTTGCCTAATTGAAACAATGAGAGAATGTCAGTAAATTCTGTTGCTCTGTCACAAGTTCCATAGTTAGACTGTACATTTGTCATATAGGAGGTTGTAGACACAATTGCTTTTTGTAATAGCATATATTTAAGCACTAGGAGTAGAATTAATATAAGCCTGGCAGCTATTGCCTGAATCCTCATAACATGGTACAAAAAATAGCACCCTGTCCAGGGGGACCAAAATAGGGCAAAAATAAACAAAAAGGGCAAAATATATTTTTGACAGTGGGAAAGTATAAAATGAAACTTTATAACTAAGAGATATAATGAAGGAATATCTGTCAATAGAATGCCCAACCACTTTTTTCTGCCAGTTTCTAAGAGGTTTGCGTGGATGAAATTGTAGAAATCTGCAGGCGTTAACTATTAATTAATTCATTGCTCACAGCATACTAAGTTGTGACTGTCAATCAAATATAATGAACAATGTACTTGTGCCTCCTGAGACTATATCGGCTTTCTGCCACAGTGTCATATTTTGTGTCTCAGAACCACTC